GCAATAAAAATAAGTGGGTACCATTTAAAATTTCAAAGTTGGCGCCAATTTCTCGTAGTTCCGGAAGTTCAGCCATTTTGAAAATAATTTAGTTGAACTCAGACTGGTTGATTTGGGTTGTGTATAAAATTTCAAATTCCTATCTGAATTAGAAGTTAAAAAGTTTCTAATGTAGGCCCTAAAAGAATCACCTTGTATACAGGTGCGCCTGAACTCGTGCCCCAGAGAAAAATGCCATATAAGGTAAGATACCAAGAAGATGGAAAAAATGTTAAAAAAAATTTATCTATAAAAATTTCGAAGTTATGAGGGTTTAAATTTTGCACTTTGACTCTATTTATTTCTGTTGGAAAAATAATTTTCCAAGTTTTTTTGCAAGAGGAAACAAGGATGCTATATCCTAAATTGTAACTCTGTTCAATGTTATTTGTGGCTTTTATTGGCAAATTTTTTGTACCTTTACCAAATAATTCTAAAAAAACAAGATTATCAGTATCATTAAATAGACATAAAAAATGTCAAATGTCAAAAAATTGACAGATATAATTTTTTAAACATTTTTTCCATGTTCCTGGTATCTTACCTTACTTAAAATTTTTCTCTGGGGCGCAAGTTTTGGCGCACCCTGTATCTGCAACCAAGCTTTATACAGGTGTTCCAATAACACGGAGCCACCCCGAATATCTCAGAATCTAAAATGACTTTGCAAAAACGCCGAAACAGATCGATTTTGTTTCGGAGGGGGACATTTTTTGACGTAATTTTTAAATCACCCCCAGTAACTCTTTAACCCCCACGCACCCCAACTTTAAAAATTTAAATAGCACTACTTGTGGCACATCAAATGAAAGTTATTTTAACAAGATTTTCAAAACTTTTTATCAAAATTTAATCATACCATCCATTCATGAGATACAGGGTGTTTTAATAAAAACGATCCAGCAAGAAATTGCAAAAAAAAACGAAACAGGTTAATTTTGTTTTTAAAAAAGACATTTTTTGACACAATTTTAAAAGCATTCCCTTTAACTTTTCCCACCTCAATTTCGAAATTTCAAATGACACCGACTCACTTGCGACAGATCAAATAAAAGTTTAAAATGTTTTTTGAACCTCTTTTCTAAAGTTGAATAGGATTATCTATTCATAAGATATTCGCAAAAAATAATGTTTCTAATTAGTAATTACTTCTAATAAAAGCTGTAACAAACTTATTTTTATTTCTTTATTTTAATGTCAAATTAATCGGACTAAAGGACAGGGGGTAATAACGTTTCTTATAATTTAATGTAAGTATCTAAAAAATAGCAATATAGTTCTTAAGTTCCTTTGTACGTACTGACTGCTGAAAGATTAGTTTTTTGCTGATATTTTATGAATATATGAAAGTCATTTCATTTTGGAAAAAAGCATTTAAAAAGTGTTTTTATTTTTTGTATCACTAGTGGTTGGTGCTATTTGACATTTTAGAGTTAAGTGACATAGAGGTTAAAAGGTTAGTGAAGGTGCTTTTAAAATTGCGTCAAAAAATGTCCCTTTCAAAAACAAAATTAACCGTTTTTTTTGCAAATTTTTTCTAAGATGGTTCGTTTCTATTAGAACACCCTGTATCTCATGAATGGATGGTCTAATTCAATTTCGGTAAAAAGTTCTGAAAACTTTGCTAAAATAGCTTTCATTTGATGTGCCACAAGTAGGGTAGTGCCATTTAAATTTTTAAAGTTGGGGTGAGTGGGGGTTAAGGGGTTACTGAGGGTGCTTTAAAAATTACGTCAAAACATGTCCCCCTCGGAAACAAAATCGACCTGTTTCGGCGTTTTTGCAAAGTCTTTTTAGTTTCTGAGATATTCGGAGTGGCTCGTTTTCATTGAAACACCCTGTATGATAAATTAGTGTTATTTTTCCATGTAGAATATGTGGTTACAATTTTACGTAATATCAAGGAAACACCCTGTATATTTAAATTAGATATTTGTAAAAAAAAATAATTTTCCGGGTGGTGGCGAATTTCCTAGTCGACTCGATTTCCTTATGGGCGTTTGAATGTCAAGTACGGTGCCGAAATCCGGAACCCCCGAACCCCATCGTCCTCCAGGTGTACCAACCTTCACTCAATCTTACATAAATCCAGTTTCACACTTATACAATCGCTTTCACGAAGGGTGCTGTGAAAGCACCTTCGTACCACGTGTCTCTCTAACTCTTCCGTTATTGGTGCAGGTCGTGTAGCAAGTGGATGACCTTGACTTACAAATCAATGGGTTGACGACCGTCTCTCTCATCCATCGGTTTGAGAGGGAGAGAGAGAGTAGTAAAAAAAATTGTCAATGTACCACGCGCGCAATTTCGATTTTGTAATCATTATAGTTTATGGTTTATTTTAGAGATACCATGGGCAGTTTATGGTTGTGTGGTAACACATTCCGATGATTGGTTGAGTAATTTATCAAGTCACCTTTTCTTTTTTTTTTATTTGAATCTAGTTGTCAAAATGGGAAAAAACGCCCGAATTTGTGACCTTGACGAGATTAAATCGCGTGTCGTGTTCTGAGAATTAAGAAATTACGTATATTATGAATTTAAATTTTTAATTATTTCCGCTCTGTTTACCACAAATATAAGAAAACTGAAAAGTGAAATCACGAAAAGTGCTTTGTGTATTTTACTTTTATCGATTTATATTTATAGCTACGTCTACTCGATAAGATATTTCACGAGTTGCATACTTAAATTATTGCCTATTTGCCCTTTCGCTCAATTTTTTGAACTATATACAGGGTAGTTAACTCACGTTTTAACGCCTCTGAAAATTAAACTTGAATTCATATGTGATTTTTTCAAACAGGAGGGCATTTTCTGCAATTTTAAAACTAATTATAATTTAATATTAACGATTTTTTAATTAATTTATCTAGAAAATTTTGGTTTTACTATAAATTATAATAGAGTGGTATTTTATTTTATTAAATTATTAAAATAGAGGGTGTCCATTAGTGACCTTAAAATGGTAAAATTTTAAAAAATTATATAGGACATTGATAATCTAGTCCATCGCCTATAATTATTTTCAACTATACATCGTGTCTCAAAAATAAGTTACAATACAAACTTGTGTTCTTTTAAATGAAACACCATATGTTTCTTAGCGTTTTTGGATGTAGATTTTTATGACAAACTTTTTGACGAAAACATGCACTTCTTAAAAAATTATTACACAAGAACTAAGACATCTAGATATATTTTTTTTACTACCGCAAAGAAGAAGGTACAAGCTATAAGGTTGTAACATTTTTTTAGTGTGTTGCATTTGCAAAGATAAAAAAATGAAGGCGCTTGTTAGAAGTTCAATAACTTACAAAAATTAAATGGAACACCCTTGTTTTTGCATTTAAAAGATTATTAAATTGTCTTTCTAAAATTATTTACTTTTAGGTGTTTATAATCAAAAACTAAAATTATATTTAACGTTAAACATTAAAAAAAAATACTATTGTTTAAATATCTTTTAATTTATCAATTCTAGACATTAAAAGTTTATTTTTTTAAATAGACAATTTTTCAATCTATTAGTTGCAAAAATAAAAAATAGGGTGTTTCATTAAATTTTTTTAAGTTATTTAACTTTTAACAAACTTATTAATTTTTACAAATGCAAAACGCTAAAAAATTGCTACAGTTTTAAATTCTGTATTTTCTTCTTTGCAGAAGTAAGAAAAAAATTGTTCTAGCTGTCCTAGTTTTTGTGTAATAAATTTTTAAAAAGTGCATATTTTCGTCAAAAAAACGTCTTATTTCTAAAACTAAGCGAAATCGACTAATAAAAGTTTAGTGTAAAAACATTGTTTTAAAAGGCTACACACATACGGTGTTTCATTAAAAAAAACACATGTTTGTATCGTAACTTATTTTTGGGACATGCTGTATGCTTGAAAATAATTTTAGGTGATGCACTAGATTAGTATATCAATGTCCTATACATTTTTTTTTAATTTTACCATTTAAGGTCACTAATGGACTTTTTCAACTCTCTGGAACACCCTGTATATTCAATTAGTACTCTTTGAGTCATATTTAATGTAACTTAGATTAAATAATCTTCCGATAAATAATACAAAAATAGATTTTTTTGTTAAAAAATTTGCGAATCACATTGTGAATTCTATACGGGGAGCGAGCGGCAAAGCCGCGAGCCCCCCATAATTTCCAAAAGACATTTTCGAATCCGATAGGATTTAACCAAAGTTTCTACTAGTTCACTAATTAAATAGAACAATAACCGAATAAATTTTACTTAAGTAATTAATAAATTACTTCTAATAATGCAAAGATTGGTCATGTTTTGCTTAATTTATTTACAATTTTTGATTTCCTGCTTAATATTTTCGTTGTTTGATTTAATTTTACTACTTTTTCTAGATTTTATTGCAATTCTTTAATTTATCGAGGTTAGATCGCGGAAGTTTCCAAACATCAACAAAATCGCAAAATAATAAATATTCACACGAATAAAATAAACAAAATAAATTATTCCAATTTGTGAACAGTGCGCAAAGTTGTTTGTTATTAATTCGAGTTAATTAAATTTGATTTTGATGAATTGTTTGCAAGCAGTGGTAATGTTTAGATCGTCGATGAATTAATTATGAGCTAAAAATTACAAGTAACGGTCGTAATTACAAGTCTGTAAAAATCCCTCTAATTACTTGTAATTCCCGTTGAAAATTGGGAAAAAAGTGTTAAAGGTCACTCACACGTTACAAATGAGTCAGCAAATCATATTTCACCTAGAAATGGTGTTTGAAGTGAATGGTGTAGCAAGTACCATTGCCCCCGGCCGATATTACACCGTGTAAATAAATAATATACTTGGCAAAGACCGAGCTGACCTTTGGTTGTGAACCTTGACAAAGAAATCTAATTCCATTCATAAACACTCTTGTTCAATTATTTATTAGTTTCGCGTACGCTGATTTTCATTCATTGATGATTGATTGGCTCACCTGTAGACAAAAGGGCCAACTTCTTGCAGTTTCGGTTTTTCCCCCAAATTTAGAAAATTGTCGGGATTTGTGACGTTGAAAATGTAGACTTTTGTGAGGCGGATTACTCCGGGTTTTTGCCAGTACTGGAAGCTCAACGAACCGTTCCACAGTTTCAAATTCTGGGGGAAAAAATGGAATTTTTGGGGGAAAATTTGGGGTTTTTTGCTTACTTTTAAAATGAGGTAGTCCACCCATGGAATTGACGATAAGATAATGCCCATGGCCAGGGTAAATACTCCGATTAGGATGACTGCGATGCGACCTGAAAAAAACATAGAAATACAAAAAGCAGTTCAAACTGGGAAAAAATATTTTTATAAAATACAGGGTGTGTCAGAAATCGTTTCCAGGAGATGGAAACAATGTTTAAAAAATTCTCTGTCAAAAAATTTTGACACATTTTTTTGACATTTGACGTTTTTTTATGTTTATTTAATGATACTCGTATATGTTTTTTTTAGAATTATTTAGTAAAAGTACAAAAATTTTGCCAATAAAAGCCACAAATAAAGTTAATTTAGAATACAGCTTCTTTTTTCCTCTTCTAATAGCCTGTAGCAAAAAAACTTGAAAAATTATTTTTCCAACAGAAATAAATAGAGTCAAAGTGCAAAATTTAAACTCTCATAACTTCGAAATTTTTATGGATAGAATTTTTTCAAACATTTTTTCAATGTTCCTGGTATCTTTCGTTTTAATTACATGGCATTTTTTTCTGGGGCGCGAGTTCTGGCGCATCCTGTATATAAAGTGTCACTAAAAAGCTTTTTAACATTTTCTTAATGGACCTATTTGCTACTCCAAAAATTACTTTTCGTTTTAATTTTTTGTTTTGGTGCACATTTTTTATTAAATATTTACATTAATCACCCTGTATTTGCTTATACTAAACTTTAAAATATTTTAATTTATATTTGTATATACATGGTGATTTACCAGTTGTATTACCAAATAGTCAAGTTTTTGCAATAATAATATACAGGGTGAGTCAACGAATAACGCGTTTCAATTTTTTTCAAAAATTAAATTATTGAAATTTTTTATTTTTTTTTTGGTTTACTGCACATTTTTTATAAAATATTGTTAAGTTTGCTTAAACTAAGATTTATGATATAATACATATTCGGATATACAGGATGATTGACTATTTCTGTTATCAGTTTAAAAACAACCTATTTTTGTATTAAAATATACGGAGTGAATTTAAAACACATACAGTGCTACTTTCGTACTCACCGGTTTGATTTTTTTTAGTTTTAGTATTTTTGGAAACACACCCTGTATTTGCTTAGAAAGAAACTTTGACACAATGTGACTAATTTAAGATTTTTGAATACACATTCCAATATACAAGGTGATTCACCAGTTTCGTTTTTTTGTGAGATTTTTTTTATGTTCTATTAAAATATACGGAGTGAGTCACCAACGTTAAAAAATTGGAGCCTTTTTGCACTTTTTTGCATTTTGACACATATACACATCTATTAAAAATTAATTAAATTAAAAATTAATTACATTAATTAACTATTAAAAATTACTTTCTAATTACTGTTTTTTTTTTTTTGGTTTAGTGTTTTTGACAAAACACCCTGTATTTGCCTAAAACGAAAATTTGATACAATGTGGAATAATTTGAGATTTCATAATGCGTATTTTTGCCAAACATCAAGCGCTTTTTTTATTAAGGTCGTCTTTTGAATTAAAATATACAGGGTGACTGATCAAAATGCGTATTTCAAACCTCAACTTTTTTGTAACTGTTTTACACTTTTTGTTTTTAATTTGTGATTTCTACGATTTTTTTGCAATTGACATTTTAAAGTGTATAAAATAAATTGACATTAGAAGAGAATTATACGAAAATAAAAATAAAGGACAACAAAACACTTTTTTTATATCCAATCAAGGTTTTAAATTTCATAATTAAAAATATGTGTAAGGAAATTGAAAAATGACAACGAGGAAAAGCCTCGAAAAGCCCATTTTCCAGTCATGGCCAACGCGACCTCCGCAATTTTCGTATTTCTGCACGCATTTTACGAGCTACCATTTAAATGCCATTTCCAATAAATTCTTTTAGAAAGTGAAGAGTCACGTTTTGACAGCGCTTCATCATCAGGGACAGATAACAAAACATGTGAACGTCTATAATTTCGTCAGGTGTGTTTTACAAACATAAAATATATCAAATAGAGTCCAAAGGTTACTTTTAATGAATTTTAGTTTGGTATTTAGAGATGGGTTTATGGCTGCATAATGAATTATTGATAAATATAATATAATTTTTACTTAGTGCGAAATTGAATAATAAAAATAAGGAACTTGTTTTGGAATAGCCTTGTTTTGGTGATATTGGATCAGAAAGAAATATTTGCCAAGGTTACATTGATAAATTTTAGACAAAAATAAATTAATTATTCATAGATTTTGCAATTTTTATTATTAATATTTTTAGCTCAGATATCACTTTTAAAATGCGGAAAATATCAACGCGGAACGGGACATAATATTACGAATTTTAAAAGATATAAAACAACTATTGTTTACTTCAAGTAATTACGTTTTCCTGGATTTTGAAATCTTTAAAGTTTGTTTTGTGACAAGAAATAAAGATCTAAAAACAAAAAAAAAACTTCACCGAATCAAATATTTTCTACTTAATTAATACATTATTCAAATTATTTTTTTTATTTAAATCGATCCAAGGTTCGAATAGACGTAAACTCAGGCACTGAACTCGATGCAACAGGTTAAAATGCTCTACGATGAGTGATTTTTGACATATTTATAATAATAATAATAATGATAATAAGAGTAATTAGACTCAGAAAAGTGCATAAAACATTTCATAAATGCTAGAAATAAATAAATAGACAGAGAGACTGGCCGGGGGCGTGGTAGCACAGCGATTTTTCTATATACTACACGTAAATTTTAATTTATATTTGTGATTTACCAGTTGTATTACCAAAAACTCAAGTTTTTTCCAATAATAATATTCAGGGTGAGTCAACGAATAACGCTTTTCATTTTTTTTTTCAAAGATTAAATTATTGAAAATTTAATTTTTTTGGTTTAGTGCACATCTTTTATAAAATATTTACGTTAATACATTATTCAAATTATTTTAATTCTTTTATTCAAATCGGTCCAAGGTTGGAATACACCGATTTCTAGACGTAAACTCAGGCACTGAACTCGATGCAACAGGTTAAAATGCTCTACGATGAGTGGTTTTTGACATATTGATAAAAATAATACGAGACACTAAGAGTCTAATTAGACTCAGAAAAGTGCAACGTTTCATAAATGCGATAAATAAATAACTAGAGCAGAGACACTGGCCGGAGGCGTGACAGCGCAGCGATTTTTCTATATACTACACGTAAAAAATCGTTTTTTGCGCACTCTGTATAATCGCTTACGCAACGTTTGATCTCACCTGAAGAAACGATGAATACAATTTCATCTCATGTAACAGCCGATGCACTTTCACTCTCATTGCTTAAAGTCGGCCGATCAGTGTCCTTGAATAGAATCTTTCTTCTTCCATTTTGTGACAAATCTCCGCCATTTCGCAACCGTTTTTCCACCCAAATCCGACCGATACTTAAACCACTTGGAATTAATTAAGCCTCTAATCGTGTTACCTAATCACGAAGGCCATCTTTGTCTCTTAACAGTGACCTTTTAATATCTGGGTCAGTAACGCGGATATATCCTACGGGGTGTATTTTCGGTTTTTTTTTCAATCAAAAATTAACACATAAATTTATTTTATTAAAATGGAGTATACAAGGTGTGTCAAGTTTTACACGCACCCCCAAAACAGCCCTTTCTAGTCAAGCTAAAATTTCAAAAAAATTCGTAGATGATTTGTTCAATTCAAAGAACGTTTTACCCAATTTTTAAGCTAATTCGAGTTTAACGTCAAGGATTTTTTAATATACATATAAAAAAAATTAAATTGAATATTCTATAACAATAAAAACGGGACATATTTTTTATATTTTTTCCTAGTAAAGTTGAATATCGTGTTTGGGGGTGCGGATGAAACTTGACTCACCTGGTATATTACACGAACTTTCCAATTTTAAACGTCGATTGGGAAACGGTGGATTAACTAAGAAGGTTTTTTAACATCAAATGCTAAAATACTTAACGCTATTGTCGCAGAGATGCGTTGCGAAATTTTAGATTTATCACCAGAAAAAAGAAACCAATTTACGTCAATTTAGATGACAAAAAGTGACAAAATTCATTAATAAAATAATTCTGTCAAAACATCTAAACTTAGAATTACCAATAATGCGACCTCAACAATGGAATTGATCAATCAATCAATTAAAAAAAATAACATTTCTGACGTCAGTTGTGGATGTCACATAACAATTTTTTGCAATTTTCTGATTAAAAATATAATTTAGTTTTGAATAAAATTTGCATGATAATTTGAATACGAAACTAGTACTTGTTTTATGAAAAAATGTAGTAAATGGACGCAATTATTTTATGTAAGGTTAAAAAAAATTAAAAACTTTGTTTACAATTTTTTTATTTAATTTGTGAAATTTAAAAATTGTTAATTTTTCGCAAAAACGTTGACCTTGGCAAGGTGTCTCGACGAACTGGATTGCCATCAATGCGATTTGCGTCACGTAAATAATTACCTCTCGACTAATTTTTCTAGTAAAACAAATAATTTTATCGCAAATCCGGGTGCAAAAATCGATAAGAAGTTTAGTGACCTTTGACCGCCAAAAAATTTCTCATAAATTAACTCTACAGGTGCTCAAATTTTTATTAATAAGTTTGTCCACTGTACAAATGTCCAACTGTATGTGCTATAAACGAGTTCAAATAACTCTTCTTTGATATGTCATGTAATCATCATTGAAAGCAGTTCATCACTTTCTAGAAGCAATTGACCACAACCTTTAATGACTTAACGTTTAATCTCACTACAATGAAGTTACCATTAAATATGCATGACTATTTAATAACCCCAAACAGTAGTACCAATTTTGAAAATTCAAATTTCTCTCCCCTCACTTTCAATTTATTTTTTTGTCACACCCTGTAACTTTTTCATTGCTAGGTGTTTAAAGATTATTCTTATCAAATGGTTATACAAAGTTTAAAATTAAAAGATTAATTTTTTTTTTAAGAAAGTGTAAACTACTAAAAATTACTACTTTCCGTTTTGGATTTTTTTGGTTTAGTGCAAAATATTTACGTTAATCACCCCGTATTTGCCAAAACTAATGAAATTTGAGATTTTTTAATACTCATATTCAGATATACACGGTGATTTACCATTCAAAACAAAATTATTTTTGTATTAAAATATACAGGGTGCGTCACTAACATTTCTTTCAGTTTTAATTTTTTCAAGCAATTGACCACAACCTTTAATGACTTAACGTTTAATCTCACTACAATGAAGTTACCATTAAATATTCATGACTATTTAATAACCCCAAACAGTGGTACCAATTTAGAAAATTCAAATTTCTCTCCCCTCACTTTCAATTTATTTTTTTGTCACATCCTGTAACATTTTCATTGCTAGGTGTTTAAAGATTATTCTTATCAAATGGTTATACAAAGTTTAAAATTAAAAGATTAATTTTTTTAAAAGAAAGTGGAAACTACTAAAAATTACTACTTTCTGTTTTGGATTTTTTTGGTTTAGTGCAAAATATTTACGTTAATCACCCCGTATCTGCCAAAACTAATGAAATTTGAGATTTTTTAATACTCATATTCAGATATACACGGTGATTTACCATTCAAAACAAAATTATTTTGTATTAAAATATACAGGGTGCGTCACTAAAATTTCTTTCAGTTTTAATTTTTTGCTTCACCTTATATTATGGCTTATGGCTTATGGCTAGCATCACAAATGATTATGTTTTATTAAAATATACAGAATGAGTCACCAATGTTAAAAAAATCGGAGGCTTTTTGCACTTTTTACTTTTATATAAAACATACAGTGTGAACTAGAAACTACTTTGCTTCTCGTAACATTTTTGAAAAACACTCCGGATTTGCTTAAAGAGGAAAATTGTCACAACGAAAAGTAATTTAAAATTTTTAATACATATTTGGATGTACAGGGTGATTCACCAATTTTTTATGGGAATTTTTTGACGTCAAATATAAAAAGTCTAAGGTCGATTTTTGAATTAAATTATACAGGGTGGGTCATTAAAAATGTAATGTACAAAGCAATATGATTTTTTTTTTGTTCTTGGGTACTTACTACTGCTGAGTTTCCCATGTTGCGAAATAAGCATTTGCAAAGGAGTGCCATCCTTGGACCGATCAGCCTTGCCGAAAATTTGATTTCTTGCATACTGCCCGATCCGGAAGTACTGCTTGTAGAGTCCCATGGTGCCGTACCCAAATCGGGTATCCTGTAAAAAAAACCAAGAACAAAAAAATACTTTCACCAAAATCAATATTTGGCAACGTCGCGAAAGATTACTATGTATATAGTTGAATGAACGACTGCTACATAATTGCACAAATCAGTGAAATAAGAGATTTGATGATGATGATGATGAATTGCAAAATTGCGGATGAAATTTTTACTGAAATAATTGTTTTAAGCCGACATTTTCTATTTTTGTATCGAGTTTAATTTTTCTATTATTAAAGCACTAAACAATTTTAAGATCTTAGTACATATTAGAATATACAGGGTGATTCATCAATCGCGTTTTTCATGGAAATTTTCTGCCAAACATTAATCGTCTTTTTACTATCAGCTACGAGTCGCAATTATTGTTGGGTTTAAAGTAAATTTTTATATTCAAATATACAGGGTGTGCCAGAATTCGCGCCCAGAGAAATATGCCATATAAGACAAGATACCAGGAACATGGAAAAAATGTTAAAAAAATTCTATCTATAAAAATTTCGAAGTTATAAGACTTTACATTTTGCACTTTGACTCTATTTATTTCTGTTGGAAAAATAATTTTCCAAGTTTTTTTGCTATAGGTTATTATTAAAAGAGGAAACAAGAAAGCTGTATCCTAAATTGTAACTCTGTTCAATGTTTTTTGTGGCAAAATTTTTGTGCTTTTACTAAATAATTGCAAAAACACATATACATCAGTATTATTTCATTAAATAGACATAAAAAAATCTCAAATGTCAAAAAATAAATGTGAACATTTTTTGACAGGTAGAATTTTTTGATCCTGACATCTTACCTTATTTTTCTTAATTTTCTCTGGGGCGCGAGTTCTGGCGCACCTGTATACAAGATCATCAGTATCATTAAATAGACATGAAAAATGTCAAATGTCAAAATTTTTTGACAGAGATTTTTTTATCTTATCTTACTTGAATTTTTTCTCTGGAGCGCGACTTCTGAGAAACCCTGTATAAGGTGAGTGAGTTATTAAAATTTGTTTTAAAAATTTAGATGTTAAAAATCCCATCCAAATGTGACTGTTTTATTTTTTGAATGTCAACGTTTTTATTTTTTACACTTTTTTATTTAAGTATACCTAGTTTTTCGCTTTTGCCAATTTTTGTGACTATACTGGGTGAATCTTAAAAATGTATTTTTGTTGTTTTGATCTTTTTTTTTCATTTGACAATAGAAATTGAAGTAGATTTAAGGTTTCTTAGTTTTTGTATATACAGGGTGAGTTATAAAAAATAAAAAGTCTGTTTTGTTGCGTCCACTTTTCCCCAGCTGTCTATAAATCAATCAGCAAAAACCTCCATCATTTTTGACACGTAATTATCAAACTTTCGGATTACTTCATCGTAAAATGCTAATTATGACGTATCATGCGAAGCCTTCAATTACACCAAATCTCGAATTTTATAAGCAAGCAACATTGCAATTTCCTCACAAACACGTTTCGACCTCCGATACCCATCTCGACCGATATTTTCTAAAGGGAAACCCTCAAGGCTGTCGCGCACAGACCCATCATTTGCCCAATGAACCGCTAGTGAAACTCGAGAGAAAGTTTTTTTCGAAAAAAAAAAAACTTGAGAAAAAAAAATGTAAACAATAGTGGCCTTGGAATTTTTTTACCCAGACTACTTGATTTGGTGTTGGCCAATAATCTCTTTGTGTTTGATTTATTCACACACGTGAAAAATTCTTAAACCTTAACCTTAACATTTTTATACAAATTGACTCACTTATGCACGTTTTATGTAATTAGAATTGAAAAAATAATTGCTCAAGGTAAAAATGCATATTATAAATCTAGTGCACTTCGACTCGGTGACCCATTTACCTTGAATCTAGTGTGCTTATTATTTTTTATAACTGCAATTGCCTACGTGAAAAAAAAAACAGAAAATCAATTAAGAAAACCGGAATTTTTCACTCAAATCTATTTTAAATGTAGTCCTGAATAACTCAAATTAAACAAATTTCATTGAATTTAGTTTTAAATAATTTAATAAATTAAATTTTTCAAATGTTTTAAACGCCATCATTTTTTAAATTACTTAAT